TCAACGATCTTTGAAATTGGAGCACTTGCTGTTGGCAAAAGATATGGATTGACATTTATTCCTGCAGGGCCTTATGGTTTCATATTTGCAGCACTTTATCAATTTTATAAAATAATTCCACCTAGTAGTCACTACACTTTTCTTGGCATTAATATTAGTAACAAGGCATCCGTATACTTTCTGACCGCTTTACCGGTAAGGGACGCGTATTATTCTATCTGATAATATTTTTAATTGATTTATGCCACGCATAGTGACATTATATCCTTTAATTATGGACACAAAAATATATAGTTTTTAGCTTTTCAGTCACCTTCATCACTCGTTGCAGCAGTGTGTGGGATTTTGGCAGGAGCAATATATCGAAGTAATTTACTAAATATGAAAGAGTGGCGTTTACCCCAGTTTATTAATCGATTTGCATCGAGATTTATTTTACCTATATTATCGACAACGCCGCGTCGTCGTTCACCAGCAATAGTACTGGATCAAAGTCAAAGGGCGCATGTAGTACAGGATAGAGGAAGAATTCCATCTCCTGCATCATCTGTAATTCGGGTACGTCTACTTCAAAGAGCTATCGTTGCATAATTAATAATCAGACTCTAATATCGAATCAATTGATTTCATATCATTTAGCAACCAACTATAAATGAAGAGCATGTAGATAATTTGCGATCGATGTTTCCGCAACGATCGCAGGAAACTATAACACGTGCACTTCTTCTATCTGATAATGATATCAATAGAGCAGTTCAATTCCTACTTGATCATCCATAACAATTTGGATTCAAGAGTAAATGAAAATTGAAATATACAAGTAATGTTTGTAAAAAGTACACAACTAATTTGTATACAAATTAACACTATTACTAGAGGCATAATTTTATTTGCAAAGATTTCTATCAAACTTATAAAAAATTATATTTGAAAGCATTTTGTCATAGGTAAGATTACAAAGCTAATAGATTAAATACTATTATTACTATTATTGTTTTTTTTTGTTAATCTATAGAGTATCTGATTGAAAGGTTTGACTTGACTCAGTATTTGTTTTTCAGAAAAAAAAAGACAATTAAGTAAAATAACTGAAAAACAAAATTAATTTATTTGCTTAGAATAAATTTAGTTTATAATAATGTGAACATTAATTAAATTTGTCTGAAAGATTAATAATTAAAGCTCTTACTAGTTTATACAACTAATCATTTTATAATATTATCACTTGTCATTACTTGATTGTAAAATTTCAATTTTCAGAGACTACAAATATCTGCCTTGCACTGTATGGTGAAAATGTCGATCGTAGAGAATGACGTAACAATCCGATGAATGGAGCTTCGGCTATAGCACCAGCATTAATGGGTTAAATCGGGCACAGTTATGCTAGATGACAAATATTCCATCTAAGCGAAGATCTAAGGCGTTCCCCACATTTAATATTCTTTCCCCCGGTTAGATCCACTCAGACCAACTGCATATTTTGCTTACGCATGCCCAAATAAGGGATGTGACATCCATGAGGATAAAACGTGAGGAGTATTTATTTATGAACAATAATAACACATGCTTATCTAATATATATGTTTACAGAAAACAAATCACATGATCAGTATGCAATGTTATAAATGCACAATGGTTTTTTACGAACCTATTATTGTCAATATTAAAAAGTTATGCGTGGCGCAGAAATCTGACGATAACCGTTCGCTAACGCATCGGGCAGTTTTTTTATAATCTATTATTAAACAAAGAACAATGACGCCTAAATTGTGAATAAATTAAAAATATAGAATAATCATTTTTCCGAAGATTGTTGGCGTTATTTAATTATCTGGCATAATTTTGGGGTATTTCAAAGTTAAGATTTTGTAATTTTAGTAGCGATGGGGTTCATCGTTCAGACAAATAAAAATGGATGGGGTTATATAATTGTAGCATCCGCGCATATAAGTTTTGGCAACGAATTATCCGATGCCACGATTCATTTTCAAATATTAACAATAGGGTCATTATCTGATTTAACATATGTCAAGCATCGCATTGTCTTTGTATACTGAATTCCACCAGGTCGTCGGTCCGCAGGCAAGCTTCGTTCACTTTCTAAATATGACCCTTTGCATGTGTCACTGCCTGTGACACTTTCGTGTTAATGTTTATATGCAACTTTCGTACCACCCAAAGGTTACACAGACGGTTGTTCGTCAAATCAAGATTGAGGTATGTAGTAGCCAGTGATCATTATCTATTTATAATATCTCGCCGAGAATATTGGATAAATCTTAGCCAAAGCCTTTTTTTCCTTCTTACGCAGGCTCACATACTTTATACTGTAAAAAAAAATATTATTTTTTGCCATCTCGCTTCACATACGTGTCATGACTACTACGGTTTTGTCAGATCGTCAGAGAGACGAGCTGTAAGTATTCCTTCTTTCTTTGACAAAAAAAATAAATATATGGTGATTTTTACATCTCTACGTTTATAAAAGTTGCTAAATGACTTTAAAGTGCTCAAATACCGCTCTATTGTCTTTTATCGCGGTCTCTTTACTGCAAATACTCATAAAAATAACTAGTATTCTACACGCCTCTTGTTCTTTTTGACAATCTTGCCCGGATTCTTTATTATTTCATATTCAATAACCCTTTCTTAATCATAAATGATATACATTAGCCACAAAGCCGTCCTCGATTATCTTTATGCCACCGGATATACAGAATCGTTTAATACTCTCAAAGTAGAAGCAAATCAAAGTGATTTCAACCCGGATCCTAAACAAAAATATGCTGGATTACTAGAGAAAAAATGGACCTCAGTCATTCGATTACAGAAAAAAGTATTTATCTGAATTTTATTTTTTAAAATCTTGTTAAAAAAAAAGTCTATGTTGAAATTGATCTAAATTGATCTATTTCTTTGTCATAATTTATCTTGGTTTAAATTTTGTCTATAGTAACTTGTTTCTTTTTAAATTAGATAATGGACTTGGAAAGCAAGATCACACAAATGCAAGAAGAACTTAATAATACTCCTATTAGAAAGGTCAACAAACCGGATGATTGGGTGCCGCGCGCTCCTGAAAAATATTCGTTAACAGGACATAGAAATCCCGTTACGCGCGTTACATTTCATCCGGTATTTTCCGTATTAGCGTCCGCATCGGAAGATACTACCATAAAAATTTGGGACTATGAGACTGGTGAATTTGAACGTACTCTCAAGGGTCACACCAAGTCAGTCCAAGATATAGCCTTTGATCCTAAAGGCAACTTTTTAGGTATACATTTATTTTACAATTTAATATTATTTCTTGCCTTAATTCGTATTTCTATTAAAATTTGAAAGTTGCCTTGTCTAGTTTCTTGCTCTGCAGATTTGACAATAAAAGTTTGGGATTTGCAAAATGATTATAAATGTGTCAAGACTTTATATGGACATGATCATAGTGTCTCTTCCGTTGCATTCTTACCATCTGGTGATATCATTATATCTGCTTCGCGCGACAAGACCATTAAATTGTGGGAATTATCATCAGGGTCAGTATTGACTAATTTATTCTTTGATCGAATTTCTTAATGTTCAAATTTATAAAATCTGTCACTTTAACAGGTATTGTACAAAGACTTACAGTGGTCATTTAGAATGGGTACGAATGGTTTCACCAAGTGAGGATGGAAAATGGATCACTACTAGTTCAAATGATCAGGTTTGTTGATATATATATATGTGTGTATGTACATAATTTATATACATTGTAAGTGCTACAAAAATTGACGCTTTTATATAAAAGACTGCACGTCTTTGGGATGTTACAACTGGAGAGTGCAAGATGGAATTTAGAGGTCACGATCACGTTGTAGAATGTTCAGTTTTTGCACCCGCTGCTGCAATTCCCCATATACGAGAAATGATAGGGCTGGTTGTTGATGTATGTTTATTTTATAAATTTTATCTTATTTAAACACATTGCTTTATTAAATTCGTTTATTTTATTTATTCTAGCCGAAAGCTAATTCTAAGGATCAAATACTCCCCGGTCATTACATTGTGACGGGATCTAGGGATAAGACGATCAAAGTGTGGGATTCGACAGGCCAATGTGTAAAGACATTGGTATGTTATTTTTTATATATTATATTAAATTTATTTATATCGATTCTAAAAGATTCGTTTCATTTTTAGGTGGGTCATGATAATTGGGTGCGTGGTTTAGTTTTTCACCCTAGTGGCAAATATCTTCTCAGCGCATCTGATGACAAGACTTTAAAGATATGGGATATGAAAACTGGTCGATGCACGAAAACTTTGGAAGCGCATGCTCATTTTGTTACGTGTATTGCATTTAATAAAACAACTCCTGTTGTGGCTACAGGGTCTGTGGATCAGACGGTGAAAATTTGGGCACCATTTAGGTGAAGTTAAAACGAAAATAACGAAATAACTTTGCGTTATTACAAAGAGCTTTCGGTATACAAATATTTTGCCAATATATTCAAAATAGATTTTATCTTATTATAAAGGAGTTCATCGTTATGGTACTTGTTCACACCACTTCCCCGTTTTTGTTTTGGATTTTTTTTTCAAATTTTTTTTCCGTTAAATCGTTTTATTATCAATCTTCAGAAAAAAAAATTTTTTTTTGTATTTCTTTCAATTCGGTTTCAATTATCAAAAGATATAATTGCCAAGTATTTAATAAACGGGTATATAGTGGTGTGATTCTCATAATATGAATCCTCAGAACTTTGAGGAGTATGTCATCGTTTATGCTGTATAAAACGTGATGTATTACTTTAACCGAAATATAAATTTACATATTAAAGGCTCAAGTACTGGGTAAGAATCTAACCATATATTGTCCTTTTTAAGATTTGGACACGACATACAATATGAATATTATCAATTGATTTTTTTTTTGGGCCTAAAAATTGTTACCTGACATTATTTATGTTGATATTATAAATCCTTTTTCATAATACGTACCAGTAAGTGCCGTTTGTTTGTAACAGCGATATGTTTTTAGTAACATTGTGCCATAAAATTGTGTTCATATGTACAGTATATATATATTTTTTAAAAGCATACAGAATATGCTTTTTCAAAATTTGAGTGCTGCAAAACTTGGAATTACAGATTTATTAAATTTTTATAAGCCCGTTTCTGAAAATGTAATATCGGTACTCATTTGGGATCTTTGCCTTGAAAATGACCTTACTGACTATGTAAATTTTATGAATAAAAATTAAAATTTCTAGCTATCTAGTAATCCAATTCAAATAAACTTTTTTTTTTTTATTTTGTAGAGCTTAATGAGTTCAACAAAATAAAAAAAATTATTTGAATTGGACTATGAGATGACTAGAAATTTTAATTTTAATTTATAAATCTACATAGTCCCATAACGATAAGGTTATTTTAAGGTCAAAGACCGTATAACAGGTGGTGTTGCAATTAGGGTTGGTTCGGTTCGGTTCATCCTCAGTCCTAATTAGGGATGTTAAAAGTCCGGTCCGGTCCGGTCCGACTCCATGAGTCGAGTTTTAATCTAGACTCGGTCCCGAGTCA